TGGACACCTGGGGTGCCGTGTTACCTTGGGTTGTTCTAGGCTGCCCTAGCGGCACTATACCTTCGGGCTCTTAGACTTGTACCGGATTGTAGTGTAGGGCAACCTGGTGCCTTCTCCAAACTCGGGACCTTGGACCAGTTCAGGGTCCTGGTCACTCTCTGTCACTAATTCGAGAGAATGACCGATATCTTTCACGCCAAGTTATTATAATAACTACGAAGGACTCTGGCATTTCTCCACATACGCCTGTCTCCTGTAACTGATATGCCTGCCCCCGGTAGCTGGTACCCCTGTCCCCGGTAGCTGGTACCCCTGTCCCCGGTAGCTGGTACCCCTGTCCCCGGTAACTGATATGCCTGTCCCTGGTGACTGAAACCCTGTACCTGGTGACTGTTACCCCTGTCCCCGGTAACTGGTACGCCTGTCCCTGGTGACTGGAAGCCCTGTCCCATGTGACTGGTCCCCCTGTTTCCGGTGCCCTGTCCTTGGTAACTGGTATCCTGTCCCTGGTGACTTTCATTTGAATCTTGGAACCTTGCGAGGATTGGATTCTTTCCCCTTTTATTGTGATATCCTCAGGGACCCCGATTCTTCTGGCACTTCTCCACAATTACATTAATGAGTTTTTCGACAAGCGAGTCAAAACGAGACATGTACGTGAGAGCAAGTCGTCTCACTGCAGCCCGAACTTCTGTGTGGGTAAAGCAACAGGTGGATGGCGCGTGGTTCATGCTTATAATAAGCTAAACACGGCCACCATTCCGGCTCAAACGCCAGTCCCACGGAAAGATGTCTTGGTAACCTCCATGGGGAAGTCAACTATTTTTTTCGCGTTGGATCTGAAGTATGGCAACTATCAAGTTCTCATGAGAGATACCGATGTATCCAAAATGACAGTAAGCACCCCAAGCGGTATGCTGTGGGAGTGGCTTGTGATGCCACAAGGGTTGAAAAATGCTCCGGCAACATTCAACCGAGTGGTGGATCACGTGATGCGTCAGCACCGTGCCTACGCGCCCCATTACTTTGACGATGTATTCGTGCATAGTAGGGCGGAGGACGGTATGAGCGCAATAGAGTCGCACAAGCGTCATTTAGACGCTGTGTTGCAGACTCTGGGTGACGCCCAATTATACGTGAACTTGCAAAAGTGCGTAATAGGGGTCCCCGAGATACCTGTACTGGGCTGCATCGTAGGTGCACATGGTGTACGAGCAGACACAGAAAATGTAAAGGCTGTAAAGGAATGGCCAGTCCCACGTCATGTGAAGGATCTGCGCCAAGTCCTTGGGCTCGCTAATTACTTGCATAAGTACAGCAAGAATTATGCGGAGCAGACTAAGCCATTGTCTGAACTTTTGAAAAAAGGATGCAGAATGGACTTGGTCAAAGGAGCAAGAAGATGCGTTCACATCAGTGAAGCAATCTCTTGTTGAGGAACCGGTCTTGGCGTTGCCAGGCGCGGATAAGCCCTTTAGCGTCGTCTGCGATGCAAACAACTTTGCAATCGGCAGCGCGCTTATGGTGGATTGGGATTTACAAAATTGCTGATGCGATTCCGACTCTCCACTGGCGTCCGGACGACTGATTAACGGAGGGGGTACCCCGATTTCGTGTGCAAAGCCTTCCTCACCTAGCATACCCGTCAGTTGGGCGGGTTGGACTCTTCTCGGTGGACTTGAGTCGATGTTGATCCTAATTGGGTCAGGGATAGTACAAGATCGACCGAGTACTAGGTGTGATCTTCATAATCGATTACGTAAATCCAATAAAGCAAAGCTTGAATCTTCTGACCACTTGAGCAGCACCTTCTGACCACTTGATCCGTCCTGCACTTGCCTCACCTTGCCCTACTTGTTTTTTTGCGTCCGATCGCAGTTGAGTTGCGTTGAGATTTTCTCTTAATCCCTGTCCAAACAATCCAGGGATATGACTTGCATAGTGTGTAGGCTTCCTCGAGACGTTGGGTGGCCAAAGAATCCAGCCCGGAAGAGAAGTCGACACGTGTATTAGAAGTAAAATTGAACTCTGTTAAGTGTTAGCCAATCAAAACTCGAAACCTACGATTCTGCCTATCTGTATTTCAGGATCTATCACCACGTGGCTTCCTTTCAGAAAAATCAGATCTCGATATGTGGTCCACCCCAAATGCCTTCGCCATCATCCCGATCCATCGGCGATCTTGCCTTATTCTTGGATCGCGATCTAAATCAGATCGCGTATCAGTTTAGGATCGCGGTCGATCCATAATATGTGGTTTACATAACTTGGATCACGATCTGCTTAGGATCGCGTATCTGAACTGGATCGCGTATCTGAACTGGATCTCGTTTTCTGGGTCAGATCGCGTTTGTGTGCTAAATCGCATTTCTGTACAATGGATCGCGATTGATCCACATTGTGTGGTCCACATAACTGGGATCGCGATCAAAACTTTACGAAAATCTGTTCTTTCGCTCCCCCACACGATCATGCAGAAGGATGACAGTGGCGATGGCCGTGTCATTTCGTATTAGTCTCGGCTATTAAAAGCCGCAGAGCTGAATTACTCTGTGCAAGACCAAAAGCTACTTTTAATTACGTATGCGCTTGCCAAGTTTTGCGTGCACTTCTTGGGCACCGAACCTCTTGTGGTTTATACGGATCACGCATTACTGCGGACACTATAAATTCACCGCACCTCTCGCCGAGGATGGCGAGACGGCTAACATTCTTCTCTAAATTTAATTTCAAAGTTGAATATAAGCCAGGTAAGTCGAATGTCTTGGCTGACGCGTTATCGCGCAGACCAGACTTTGAGGCAAAACACCAGGATAGTGCGTTTCTTACTAAGGGCTGTCTAGGATATTGCTCCCCTTGCAATTTGCACGCTGCGCTGCCTACCGTAACGCACGCAGCGGGAAGAAATCCCTTTCATTACCTAGGACACCTTCGAGAGCTTTTCCGCCCAGGCAAAAGGGGCCGATGCACCTTTTCTATAGAGAAATTCGTTTCTTGGCCAATGGTGCTCGGATATGCGAATTGGGGAATCTGTTCCCTGGAAATTTAAAGAGCGTGAAAAATCGCGCTTCGGCAATTGCCGACGCAAGTGTGGGATCATACTAATGGTCTCACATTATATTAAGTCTAGACAGGGCATCGAGTGGTGACGAGATAGTTGAATCTGTGTCACGCTGCGTGGACCGAAAACAATAGTTGCAGGAAAACACCGGCCTACAGCGGCAGTGAGGAGACTATTGTCAATCTGTTTGGGAATATCCTAGCTCCGCAGCGCTCTGGGATAAACTTATTAGTCGCTGGACCGGGCAGCAAATTACCCGTCAATTGGCCCACATCTTTCTGGGGCCCGTGCCAGTCGACGGGTTCGCAACATATCCGCGTACCGAGCGTAAGCTCTAAAATTTAAACCCTACTCCCTAAACCCTATACTGGCGGACCAAGTGACGTCGAACGCGTCTGGGCGCAAATTTGGCACGTCCTCGCGACTTTATGTTAAGCATAAATTTGGGTGGACAGGAATGCAGCTGTCTATAGGGCTGTCACACTACACCTTTCCAGCAGCAAACCAGTTTTGGGCTTCGTGTCTTTGGCAGCTCCGAGCAATCGCACAGAGGGACCATCGAAAAATTGCGTCAGCCACACATGGTGCCTTGCTATATGCTTGCATCGAGTTGCTAAAGCGCGAACTTAAAATGCCAAGTAAAAGGCAAATAACCGAAGTAATATATTCATTAGTAGGTCCTTACTTCTCATGCTAATAATGTCACATCAAAGCCTGATCTCTACGATATGTTTCCATCGTACAAGAAACGCATATACTCTTACCTTATGTCCCACGAAAGAGAGTCACACACGATGTCCATACCCGATTTTCAATACCTGATTTCCAATATCCGATCTTCAATACCCCGATAAGGATGCATCCATAAATACATACATACGGTGTACCTTATCAACAGCCACCAAGTTCTACGGTGACCAGCCACGATATATCGCTGATATCCCGGCTCAGAATTTTCCAGAGATCTTGCACATGGTTATCACCATATAAATAGACGATCTGAACCTCTCTCCCTCTCTACTGTAAGAGCGTGAAAAAGCAATGTGATCACAAGTACTACTGTACACATCCCTGATCGTGGCAACAACTAATCTGTGCTTTGTGGCGCAATCACACCCCATTTATTTAAATCAGGTTGAATATATGTCTCTTACATTTTATCTTCACATGTACAGCAACCTGATGATGGCAATTATACCAGCAGTAAATGTTGCCAGCCATGATTGCGGACATTCCATGGTAGGTTGCCTTTCTAACACGTACCCGTTGGTCTGGCTGGTGTTGTACAGAACACCGGTAAGAAAACGTGCTATTTTTTTTACTAACATCGACTTTGTGGGCTTTCCGACCCTTGTATAGACATTAGGCATTAATAGTAAGACCAGTTGTATAATGAAATGGAAGAATGAATACTTTACAAGTACATCATGTACAGCATAAAAATGAGCAGAAAGGGGGGAAGCGTTTTTAACGTCTGCTGCTAACTACAACGGCGATGTTGTCTGAATCACATTAACGAACTTCATAAGCAATGTCATAGATTCGCAATCATATAAAAATAATACTGTGCAAGTTGTGCAACATGGGCAGCACAACCATTTTGTAAACTTACTTTTCATTGTACCCTCAAATCTAAGCATCACTTAAGCTTGCTTGAAGCGGCGGCGAGAGCAGTCGAGCCAGGCAAGATCAGTTTTTAGCCACAATTCAGACCAATGTTGCGTCGTATTTGAATGGGGATCATACAGTGTACAGGCTATTCCGGCCATACCAAGCATTTTCATAACCTGTCACGCTTTCTGCACGTATCAGTCTCATAGGATTCGCCACACTCTCCACATTCTGCAATTTGCCACCAAGGCAAGAGCTCGCCACCGCTTCTCACCAGACGTCCTCGCAAATTGTCTTGACCATGAGATTCGGTTATATTGTTGCCACTATGGTAGGTCTTCTGTCGCTTCATCTCGAAACAAGTGCGGCTGACGTCGTCACCTTCGATTGGCGTATTACGCACCTCTTCACCGAATACGACGGCGTATTTATCGATTCATTTGGTATTAATGACAAGCCCAGTGACCAAGCCATCATCGAAGTAGAGCTCGGCCAAGAAGTCGAAGTCCGTGTCACTAACGAGCTGAATGAATCAACGTGCTTGCACTGGCACGGTATGAAGCAATTGGGTACCCAAGAGATGGATGGTGTATCCGGGCTCACCCAGTGCCACATCAGCCCAAATGACACAGCTGTATATCGCTTTTGTCCCGACAAGGCGGGCTCGTTCTGGTGGCACGGTCATAAAGGATTGATGTACGCGTTTGGCCTCCGCGGTCCGATGATTGTCCACGCCCCACCAAATGCACGACAGGACTGGGAAATTGATATCGATGATGAGTTCATCATTACATTAGTGGACCTCTACCATCGAGAGCCGTTCCCCAAACGTATGTTTGATAACATCCTCATTAACAACCGTGGGCGCTACAGCTGCGCCGCTGCAGCTCACCACAACTTCACCAAATGCACTGACGACCAACCGCTTGCGAATTTTCACTTTCAACCTGGAAAAAAGTATTTGTTACGGCTTATCAATATGGCCGCGCTGTCTCCGATTGTATTCAGTATCGATGGTCACGAATTCCGGGTCGTTGCAGCTGACGGCGACTATCTTCAGCCTTCGGAGCTCATCAACTCGATCCGTCTGAACACCGGCCAGCGCTACGATATCATAGTTGAAACTATATCTGATTCCATGGAGATGCCGATTGGACCGTTCTGGATGCGAGCCTTGGGACTGCACGGACTTCCGTGGACGAGAGGAGATGCTTCGGTCGCTGGCAAAGGATTCGTCTATGATGGTCGTGCGATCGTTACCTATGGAGATGGAAATTACAACGCTGAGCCGACGTCAACACAGGCGACAATCCAGACAACCGTGAACGAGTTCGAATTTGTGCCTCTGGTCCCCACTACGCTTCCTGAGGTAGCTTCAGACCGCGCTGTCCTCCAGCTCAAAATGCAGGATGGTAAAGGCTACTTTTCTATCGATGGTAGTGCTTTTCACCATTTCGAAATCCCGTACCCTCCTCCACTTTTTTCGATTGCCGATGGCCTGAAGACTGAGCAGCTGCCGATCACCGCCAACGCACGCAAGATCGAGCACGGCAAGCACATCGAGGTGGTGCTAGTCAATGCAAAGGACGAGCAGCACCCGTTCCATTTGCACACGCACTCCCCGTGGGTCGTGGGCTGGGGCGTGGCATCACTCGACCAAATCTATAAAAACGAGCTGCCTCCTCTCAAATTGGACAGCGCAATGCTGCGCGACGTCTACACCGTCCCGCCTTGCACCTCTGACGGCAACAATGGCTGCATTGATGCCGGATACGTCGTGCTTCGCTTTGACGCTGACAATCCGGGCGTGTGGATCTTCCACTGCCACATCGACTTTCATCTGGAGGCAGGTCTGAGTATGATGCTAGTGGAAGGTGAAGAGGAGCTGCAACAGAGGGGCGTCAAATCCTTTGCCAAGAGCATGCTCAGTGTCTGTGGTAGTAACACCAGTTTCTCTAGCATAGCACCAAATTCGCAGCCCACCAGTTAATAGCAAACATGTAAGCATTATCACTTTACATGACGTATCAGCATGTAGCAGTACTGGCTGGCCCCATGGCCTTCTCGATCGTTCAAAGTGTATAAATTAGATGAAGGGTTGCAACCTCGTTGCCCTAGAGCTTGATATCGTTCGGAGAAATGGTCACTTGCGATCGATTCAATGTGTAGATATGATCCAAGATTAGTGACCACCAAAACGCTCTTCTGTACGACAACCAACTGTGACGCTATTGTCCACAAACGGAGCAGCCGTCGCCTGACAATTGCTTATTATTTAGCTCTCGATCTGCTAGCAGTAAAGCTAAGATTGCGTCGATGTCATGGATACAAAACTGCAGCAGTAATGAAAGAATGGCAGCATGGCTAAGCTCAATGTAGTTGCTCTGGAAATATTTGGAAGTTTATCTGAAGGCGTCGACGACTTTGTGGGGTGGAAGTTTATTGGTGAATGACCACATTGCCATGTGAACAAATGGTTTGTGTAGAAGTCGCGAAGCTATTGTTGACAGCTACCGATGGACATTTCTAATACTTTTATCTTGGCGTCGTTTCTTTACTCGTCCGAGATAGTGTAAAGCTGACCCATATAGGAGATTGATTGCAAACCGGTGGTTAGGATATAATTCGTAGCTTCAAGAAGGCTCTCCATATGTTTTTGTGCTCAATCCTTTGATTTGATCAAACTTTTCTAGTAAACAAAATTTATTGCTAGCTAACAATTAACAAAAATGAGCTGAGTCTTAGAATGACATTTTCCATGTGCAACAGGAAGCGGAAACAGAAGAGGTGAAGCGACTTGGTGCTTTCTTACTGACAAACTGTCTAAACTGACCGACAGGATTGTATTAGGTGGTCAATAGTGCAATACCGAGCTAGACCCTGCAACACAACAGTGTGCGTCTTGACAAGGTTGGCATTTTAAATGGTTGATAAATACGTGTAATTAGCGAGCGGGTCTACAACCGAGCATTTTAAAGTCACATTGTCGAAAAAGTAGAGAGATGTAACCTTACCGGCGATTCTGAATCAATGAGTTATGAAGTGTCATAGTGACGAAGATGACCAAAATATGTTGAAGTATTTAGAAATGCCTAGTGATTTATAATACCCGCTTCCTACCAGTTTGAACGATAACGATTAAAATAAATATGCATTACTTTGGAGTGTTAGCTACAGACATGAAGAGACCCTTGACGACGTCTCCAAACATGATCAAGCACTAATTTACACAAGATTTGATTCATGCAAATCCACCCAGCACTAGATAGTGAAATTTCCAGCTCCGCTGCACACACTCAGCACCATATTGGGTGAGAAAGCTGCTAAACCTTCTTCATGAAGAACATCTTCCGCCTCTATGAAGAGATTGGCCATCCCAATCACAAAGTGCCAATCAATGTGGCAATGCATAAGCCACACTCCAGGATTGTCGGCGTTCATGCGGAAGACAACGTAGCCCAGATCTGTGCAAGCTCCCGAGGCGTCTGTTGTGCATTCCGGCAATGTAAAGACGTCATGCTGCATGGGTCCATTGAGTCGCAACGTTGTTAAATTGCCCGCAAAGATCGCATCGCGCGAGGCATGGCCGCTTCCAACAATCCACGGCGAATGAGCGTGCAAGTGGAATGGGTGCTGGTCAGGCGTCAAGTTTACCACCACCACTTCTACGTGGTCGTTGTGCTTCAACTTGATAGCGTTGGTTGTGGCTGGGAGGTCTTCGGTATTAGCGCCTTGTGCGATCGTAAATAGTGGTGGACTGTCAGGAATCACCAGCGAGTTAAAGGGACCACCATTGAGAGCGATATATCCGAGGAAAAGTCCTGGATTCGGGGGCAGAACGGCCAGAGTTGCCTCCACCACAATGCGTTGGTCGGGTGACGTTGGAAGCACCACTGGAACCGCTGGAATGTATTCAAACTCGCCAATTGTCACAATTGTCGCCCAACTCGATGTGGTCGGGTCTGCGGTAGCCCCACTCTCGTAGTCAATGATGGCAAGCGCGTCAGGATTGAAACCTGCTGGAACGTCTTCAGCCAATCGAGCTGTCCAGGGAGGACCAAAGAGCGAGTGAACACGTAGCCAGAAGGAGCCTAGTGGCGTCGTCTGCTTCTGACTGGTTTGCAATTGGTTTTGAGACGGAGCTGACTTGGCTTGCACGAGGATATCGTAGCGTTGGGCGACATTGATATATACTGAATTGACTGGTGTTGAAGGTTTGAGATAGTCGGCATCACTTGCCACTACCTGGAATGTATGTCCGTCAATACTGACATTAAATGCTGCCAAGCCCGACGTGTTGATCAGTCGAAGTAAATACTTTTTCCCAGGCTTGAACTGAAACCGAGGCAGTGGACGCCCAGGGCCACATTCCAAGCCAGCAGCTTCTGCCACGGTGCAGTTGTAGCGCCCGACATTGTTGATAAGGACAGTGTCCCAAATTGGGGCACCCACAGGCAAGTCGTGATACCAATCGGTGAGTAACACTGTATACTCCTTATAGACGTCCTTTTCCCAGCTTTGTTTCTGTTTGGGTGGACAGTTGACAATGAGCGGTCCACGGAGGCCATATACGTATTGCACCTCTTCGTGACCGTGGTACCAGAAGGTGCCGCACTTATCGGGCTTGAACCGGTAGATGGCCGTCACATTAGGTTGGATCTGACATTGAGTAATGCCCGAAACGCCATCCATTTCTTGCGTGCCGAATTGCCTCAGTCCATGCCAGTGGATGCACGTCTGTTCCGTAAGTTGATTTATGACGTGAACCTCTACTTCGTCACCTAACGTGACGTTGATAGGGTGTTCGTCGCACGGCTCATTGTTGATGCCGTATCCAAGAGTACCCCTTACACCATCAAAGATGGTTGTGTTGAGCGTAGTAATGTTCCAGTCGTAGCGAATGACGGCAGATGTAGCTTGGTCTGCGGCGAGAAGCACGAGACTGAACGTAGTTGAGAAAAGGGGACGCATTGAAGTGAAAGGTTGAGTACTGCAAACGAGTACTGTAGTGATAAAAGGCTTTTGGTGGAAGTTGTAAGTTCCGTAATGAAAGAAGAAGAAGTCGATGCCGCTCTAGGGAGTAGCTATATGAAAGAGACTAGTGTCGCCGCCACTTGCATGTCATAAAAGCTATTCCTCTCCGCAAGAGACGCAGTTGTTCCCATCATTGATTACGCTCTGAAAATTGGAACCCGTTAGTGCCGAATGCCTCCATATCATATCCATCTGCGGCACTAGAAGCGCAATTCATATGCCAGTACTAACTTCAAAGGACGGGGAAGAGGCTACCAATGATTCGAGTTGACCCTAAAAAACTTCACCCCGTGAAAGCACTAAATTCTCTTTGCAATCAAACGTTTCGCTTTTGTTGCATTTCGTCAGCCTCAAAGTGCACTTTGCAATGATGCGTTGTGACATATACCAGGCGATTCTCGATTACATTCCATCCGCACTTACATCAATACTCGAGCCCAAGCCGTTTCATATTAATCTTCAATACATCGCAGCGGAGACCACCCGAGCTTTGATCTCAGTCACTATATGCTCAGTACTCGACCACTATGCTGGATTGCAAAAATTGTTGTGATACTTGCTTTCTCACTGCACCAGAAACGTCGATATCATAACAAAATTACTAATTTGTCTTGGGGTCCGCCCATCATTTTTGCTACTGATTGCAAGGTAAAGGCGAATGCTATCAGTTAAAACGCATAGCTTCAGCTAATCAAATGATCCACTTAAAAGCGTAAACATCTCCGTTGTTTCCTTCTTCCTTGATTTTCGTCTGTTCGGGCTCAAGCACAAGGATATTTTTCTATTTTGTCGAATCTTTACTTTCACCTAATGGCACTCAATCGACGCAGCTGCGTGTAATCTTGTACGATTTGTAGGCTACACACACGTTTTTAAAAGCTAAACAGCGTAGAACTAATCAAGTTGTCATGAGAGGTAGACTGTAATGGAACACCCTCCGACTATACTGATGACAGAATAGTCCGCCCTTACTAGTTACAGTGAAAGCAGGTGCCTCAAAACCTCTGTTACACAAAGAGGCGGAGGAAGCTTTACTTTTAAAGAAGTGCTTAGTTGAGAAGGAAGAAAACTGTATCTAATATAGTTAAACTATTTAATAAACCTAAATTAGTAATAATCTTGTCTTAATTATATTAAAGTACAAAATGTATGCTAACTTCGTGCCTTCCATTAATTAGGCGTGTCCATCGGTAATTGGTCAGCGCCTTGGTTGATTTAATGGCCTCTTTCAACCAATTAGAGAGCATCTCCAGCTACAAGGAGATGCGAGAGCAACATTACAACAAAAGATAATATTGTAATATATTACTAGTTATAATAATATTTTATTGACACTTCATATAAGTGTCAATATTATGTAACGGCTTCCCCTCAGAATAATTTTTAAATGAATCACGCCTGATTCAGGATTCATAAAAGCTAATTCAGGATTCAAACTAATAAATTATTAAGCATAGTACAGTCGTTAGCTGAACAATAAATTCATAAAAACAACTAATTGAGATAGACGAACTTGCTCCTATTATCACTCTAAATGGCCATTCCTGCCACCAGTGTTCCATCAGAAAGACTTTTTTCATAAAAAGGAGATTCGTAAGGCGGGACAGGAGCTCCTTGTCCGCTCGATCAAGTGAGGCATCGGTGTGTCTTAATAATTTTTACCGGAAATAGGGCTTCCTTCAGGTGGAACAATCCTTATAAAAGGTTCTTCACTAGAATTGAATACATCATTTGTCTTTGTTGGGAGTAAAAATGTGGTGATTAAAAGGCTCTAGTCCGTAAACTATATGATTATGAATCATGATTCTGAATCATCGCATGATTTTAGTATTAAGAATCATAAATCAGATCGATGAATCAGATTTATGAATCATGAATCTGAGTAGGAGGCCTGATGGGAGTCTCGGCATTGTGTAGTTGTGGACAAGTTGGTACTAAGCTAGATAAGCTTCTCCCATCGGCTGCAACTTGTCTGATGCCACAATGATTACACAAGCGTCCGGCATTTCAAGCAGCGCAGTAGTTTGACAGTTATGGAGTCGAACTCGCTAACGGTTGATGTCATGATCCAACGCTGCCTCGTCGTCGGTTCTAAATCGTCATCGTCATCCTCAATGTAGATACAGAGCTCTCTCCGTAAAGTTATGGGTACGGTGGACGACAATATCCATGACTTAACAGAGTATCGGATTATGTGTATTGTACATTAGAGAACCTGGATAAAAAAACTGACAGGTCCAGCCCTAATGATCAGAACTTAAGTCCCTGACTCTTTTATTAGTTGTACCCGGCTCAAAGGTGTGAGACACGTCGTAAGCTTGTATTTTGTATGCTATTAGTAAAAGCTATATGTAAATCTACAATGTTTAACAATGTTTTGCCTACCTAGATAGTTGAAGATGTCGAAAAGCTAAAGCTGAGCTGAGAGAACATCTAGAGCAGCTGCGTGTCCGGGATCTGATGACGAATTCAGAGCTTTGTAATTCTATCGGAGAGGATAAAACTGCTCAGCCGGAGCTGACCGAGAACGAGATTCTGGTGTAGCTAAAATCTAGAATTTAGAGTAATCAGAAGTATGTGTTATGCTTGACTTTCTCTGCGATCCTATTTCTTCCATGCATCCTTATCTACGCTAGTTATCCACCCGTTCCTGATCTTGAAAGGCACAGAAGGAGGGAGAAAATAGTGGAGATGTGGCGCCTGTCGCACACAAGTTCACCAGAATTAAAAAGACCAACCTCCTTCGTGATACCTGCTCCGTGCTCGATGTATCCCAGTACTCAAGCCACTTATAGAGTTCTCCCGAGACCTTCTACAGGACTTTCGCAACGCAACCATACCCAAACTACCCTTGACATGTGGTTTAAGTAGGTTTATTGTCCGAACTACAAGAATAGTACTCATTTTATAAAGGTATATTGCCCTGCCTGACTATAACTTAAAACTTAGCGACCATAAAACGGTGGACACGAAATTTGATTACCAACCGGAGGATATAACTTATCAGAAAATAGCTTTTTGAAGGAAGGTCTGTAGTTGCGAGTGAATTCCTCTCCGGAGTTGGCTGCCGGGTAGACATTTAATGTAGACGGTCACTTCTACGAAGTAGCCTCGTATTACGAGCACACCTTTAGCACAAGCGAGGAAGCGGTTATAATTTCTTACCTTCGCGTTCGAGGGTGGTTAGGAGGTTAGTCGACTGCTTAAGCAGTCGTACCACCAGTTGCTCTCGCTTAAGCGAGAGTCCAACGAACAACTGACAAGTGTTCTACTTACGCCACGCAGCAGCTTTCTCAGATTCTCGTGCGCAGTAGGCAGTATGTAGTAAATTCAAGACTGAGTTATATTTAATGAATTATAATTAAATATGAAACTTAACTACTGATCGGCTAATTATATAAAGATTGGATACGCGACTCTTTAGAAGCGCATCCTGACGTGCAAGTTTAACTGTAGGTTTAAGCTCGCTAATGACGTCCTTCTGGGACGTCGCGATGCCTAGCTTCAAGTAGCGTCATCCCTTCCCATGTGAATTCATCAATGGATATCACATTCACGAGGGTGGATCACGTTTGTATATCGCACCCAGTGACAGGTCAAAAGTAACCATGGATACTTTTAGACCAAACATTAATTATATTACTTAGTGTGTACGTGAAGCTAGATACCTTGTTACACCATCCCCCGTTTTAGAACAATTTTTACATTTGTAAAACTCGCCTAGGAGACAGAGAGACTGCGAACCGTTATAAAACGCGCCGCTTAGTCTACTCGATTTTCATGCCACCTAGACGTGGTAAGGCTGATGGGTCGCCTGCGAAGGCACCCATGCAGTCCAGCATTAAGCGCACGCGCCGCGATTTATCGCCGTCGTCGCAAAGTGCTTCAGGCACTGAGAAAAATCTTCCGTCCCACTATAATGTGGATGAAGATTCATCTCTCATTGTAGACTACAATGAGAGTACGCCATTGCCATCACCCCAAAGTGGAGATGAGCAAAGCGCATTGATGGGACATATGTCTCCATCATTTGAGGCACCGGTCCTTGAGGGAGCGTCTATGCTTCCTACAAGCGAAGGTAAAACCTCGTCGCCTGCGCCTACGAGCGCAGCGACTTAGACTGAGCGCGCTACTTCGAAAGAAGCAGTCGCGACTCAATCTGATGTGACTCCTCAGGCTGATGTCTTGCCAATCCATAATAGAGAGTCAGACTCAGGTGAGTGTGAGCTTAAAGCTCCACCTAGTACACCTTCGGCCTCACTAGCCCGCCGTCGCGATGGCGGCTACGTGAGTGGTGGCTTACCACCAATGCCACCTCCATATGAGTGGATACACTTGAACGGGTCTAGCGCAGCGCTTTTGCAGCGTGCCCTTATTGACGCTCATAGGTTTTATAGCGTCTTTCCTTTGTGGAAAAAGCAGGGCAAAGCACTTGGTCGTGCTTTCCCGATTCCAGTCGTGCTGCGTTCTAACGAAACAGCCGACGAATATGAAGCTGAACTTCGGCGCCGTGTAACGTTGCAGGATGATGCAACGAAACAACGGTCGCAGCGAGTCAGCTTCGCCATGAAGCGTGCGCATGAAATCTTGGGTGGTAAGCGACCCCCAATTAATTCTCGCCACGCTTCTTCTGCTAGTCCATCCGGATCTAGCAGGAAGACGACAGCTGGTGCTGCTTTACATAAGCAGCTACCAGCCCAGGCACGTCAACGCGCAAAGCGTCCACAGTCTCCCACGAGTCAAAGCTCGTTTGGTACCCTTCCATTGGATCAGGATTTGGATCTTTCGCTTCACAAACTGGTGAGCCAACAGCCTTTCAACAAGGAAGCGCGTATTCCTTTCAGTGTCACCCAACACAGGTGGCGCCCGATAGGAGTGGCGATTACGCCCACCTACTCGCGGCTGCCTACCCTGCTGCTGTTCAGTCGCAGGCTGAG